TATAAAAGGAGTTCATTTTGACTAAGTAAATTATAAATGAAATTTTTAACAAATTTTCCAAATAAAATTTATCAGAGTTGTTTTAAAATTTATTCTAATTGAAAAGAGAAAGCTCTAACTTTATTAGCAATTTATTCTTACTTTTTTGAAAGGGAATAATTGAGGTTATTTTTTACCTCGACCAAATCAAAGTCAAGTTTGAACGAGAAAAAATAAAACCTCTCCTTATGTAAGCAACTCAATTATCATTACTAAAATAATGTCAACAATAATAATATAATGAATAAATGAAGAGGACAATAAAAAAAAACCGCATCGTCGATCCAATACATCACATATATTTTATTATAATATTTTCTTTCTCATCTAATATTTTCTAAACGGATTCTGTTGAGTACAAAGTTTCACATGAGATAAAATAAGAGATGAACACGAGTTTATATACACATAAGATACCTCAATTAGTAAGAGGTCTTTTGGAGTAGTACCAAAAGTAAATCCGTGAAAGCTTAGTCTAAAACAGAGCTCATAGTTCAGGTCTGGAGTGGAAAAAAAATATGTACATGCACATAAAATCCATGAATATTTACGAATGATAAATAAAAATATTTATTTGATAATAGACGGACAAATATTTGAATATATATATATATATATATATATATATATATAGTTTACATGAATAGTATAAAAAAATTCATAAATATTTTTTTATAGATATCGAACCGATAATAGAATGAATATATTTTTTTATGAATAGAATATATATAGTACATTATCCATATCTAACACATTTTCTATTACATTTCACACGTTCTTGTCACAATTGACGAAGAAAACTAATTTTGTTGATTGGAGTTTGTTTATAAAACTCTCATCAGTTTCCAAAAAGTATGGGAAGTAGTTGAAAATGACACCAAAAATCATCAGACATTGAAGATTAGACAATTGCTTAACTTGTTGTGTTGAGAGCATCACAAAAGTGAAGGACAAACCAACCATATATACACTCGTTGTATCAAGTTATCGATGAGTCCAATTTGGAGAAGATAACAAATGTTAAATTTTCAAAAGAAGCATGAGATATATTGGAGAAAACCTATAAAAGGAGACAATCATGTAAAGTAGACCACACTTCGAACTCTAAAAAACAAGATTGAAAGCATGAGGATGAAAGAAGTTGAAGGAGTTACCAAGTCCGTCTCTCATTTGGAGACCATGATGAATCAACTTGGAAGGAATGGTGAAACACTTCCCAATTGCTGAGTGGTGGAGAAAATTTTAAGGTCGTTAACTAACAACTGTACGAGAATATAGTATATGTCATTGAACAATCCAATGGTTTGTCAATGCTCTTAATTAAAGAGCTTGTTGGGTCACTTGAGGCTCATGAGCAGCTAAAAAAGAAGCGGAAGTTACTTGATAAACTACTCCAAATAAAAGGAGAAACTCAGAACACTCAAAGCATAAGTTGATACCAAGGAAGTATAAGCGGTCTTGGTGGTAGAAGTCGTAGAAAGGAAAAAGAGAAAGAAAAGTCCAACCAAAAAATTCGTGTGTGAAACAAGTTGACCACAACGACAAAAAAGAACTCAGAAACGTTTAAGTTTAAGGAAAAAAAGGATTTTGTTGTGTAAACTTAAATATGAGTAGTGTAAAGTTGTTAAATTAATTGTCTTAGAAAATTAATTGTAGAAGTTGTCAATGTTTCTAATAATAATGATTAAAGCATATGTAATAATATAATTAATGAACATAGTTGAAGGTCATGTCAAATGATAAATAATTCTTGGGTTTAATACCTCTTTTGGTCCCTAGAAAGGGGGCCAATGTTCAATGTGGTCCCACCTTTTTTTAGAAGTTCAATGTGATCCCATCTTTTGTAAAAAGTGTGCAATCAAGTCCTTTTTGGAAACGGCGTTAAGTTTTTAACGGAGCAGCTGACAGGGTGGACTGAAGTTAGCTACGTGGCTTTGTGTGGGTAATACGTGGCAGTGAGAGGGTGATACGTGGCTGTGAGAGGGTAAATCAGAAGTTAGGGTTTGAGTTGCAGAGAAATTAGTAATTTGGGATTTCTTCTTGGTAAGAGTCCCCTCTCGCTTGCTTCACTTCCACCATTTATTTGAGAGTTATTGCTTTTGTTTTTTTATTAACGTTATTCTTCATTCCATCGTCCATTTCCAAAGCACAATCAAAATTTCCTTCTGGGCACCTCAAAAACAGGTTCTTTGTTTTGTTTCTTTGGGTCCCATTGAGTTGTATCATCAAAAAACAAATTTCGGAGTAAAGCAGAAAACGAGTAGGATAAGGTAAGGCAAATTGGGAACCCGGAACAAGAAAAAGGGTAAAAGAGTGATTGACTTTGAGATATTTGAATTGCTGAGTTTGCTTTGAGTTCAGTTTTCGAAGAGAAGGGGTAATATGAAGGGCAGTCGAGACATTGTTCTGGTGAGCCAATCTTGATTTTACCTAATTGTGGATGGCGTTGTAACCCCAATGCGCGTGTTGGAGTCTGATTCCATTGCTTCGGTGAAAATGAGGATTCAGCAGTGCAAAGGCTTCGTGGTGAAAAAGCAGAAGTTGGTTTCCGATGGCAAAGAGATAGCCTGGATCAAGGAGTATGGTATCGTTGACGACAATGTTCTTCGCCTCTCTGATCTTCTAAGAAATCCCAAATTACTAATTTCTCTGCAACTCAAACCCTAACTTCTGATTTACCCTCTCACAGCCACGTATCACCCTCTCACTGCCACGTATTACTCACACAAAGCCACGTAGCTAACTTCAGTCCACCCTGTCAGCTGCTCCGTTAAAAACTTAACTCCGTTTCCAAAAAGGACTTGATTGCACACTTTTTACAAAAGATGGGATCACATTGAATTTCTAAAAAAAGGTGGGACCACATTGAACATTGGCCCCTTTCTAGGGATCAAAAGAGGTATTAAACCATAATTCTTGTATTGCTTAATATAAACTACAAGTCATATTACAGAATTTATTTCTCAGAAAGATTTTTCTTGTCAAGACAGAGGACCAACTTCTTAAGAACATCCAGGGTCAGTGTATATACTCTCTGTGACCATAATGAATCAAGTTACTTGATCAATATTTAAATTGTCTAGTGAATTCAATGCAATGCTTTTACACTTTTGTTGTGATCTTATTTTTCTGTGCAGAGTCTCTTTTCCCTTCCAATTTCATTTTAGCAATATGCCATGCAATGCTGGTTAGGGAAGTTACTTCCAACTATGAGCTTGACCCTTCTTTCGGCGTGGAAGCTTCGGAAATTTATCCCGAAGGTCAAATACAATACCGCCGACAACTATTTGAATGCGTTCGTCTGAAATCTATGGAAATGCGTAGCTGCCAATAAACTACTGCACCCGATTCAATAAAAGCAACATTTGTGTTGTCTTTCTGTTGGTTAGTTACTTGTGCTCTGTGTTTTCTAAAAAGGAGTACTTTTACTGTATATTTCAACTTGGTAAAAGTTCTTCTACTAAATCAGAGCAAATGACACATTATTATATTTATTTGACATAAAATTAAAGATAAAATACATAAAAATATAATTTTTTGTATTTTTTTAAAAACATAAATAAAAATAGTATCAAATAAATGTAAAATATATAAATATGTCAAAAAATTATTTTTCAATAAAGTAACATTAATGTTCTGTCACTGATTCTTTTAGTAGATCTGGTTAAGATTCAATTGCAGGATATAATTAGTTTTACATTAGAGGTATAATATATTAGTATGCAATTTATGAGATTTTTGAGTTCTAAAACTATAGTAACTGGTATTGTAGTATAATATCAAAGTTATTCATTCTGTTTATAAGCATAAATAAGTTGTGCAGGTGATAATATACCAATAATTACTCGATTGTAGAAAGATTGTGTGGCGAGATGTTAAGATTTAACTATAGGACATAAGCTTCGCAATAATACACATACTTGTAAATGATGGCTACAACTAAGAAATATAAAAACTTATTTTTTTAAACAAACCATGCTTCACAAAAAGCATAAAAAGTGTATGGGTGTTTGAGTGAATTTTAATTCAGTTTCATTTGTAAATTCTACTCTGAATCAAAGTTATTTAATATGTTGCATTTGGCTTGATGAGTTTTATTTTACGACATTGTTTTTCTTAATTTGATAAAGAACAAAATAAATTTATCCCTGCAACATTTGCACACAAAAAGTAGAGTAATAAAGAATCGCACATGATGTTTGTATGCCATCTCAATAATAAAGGTAAGAAAATTAAGTTGCAAGAAATTCCCAAGAATATTAAGACACTAAGCTATCAAAATAACTTATTAGAGTAAGATTCCTACAGTAACTATAAGTCAAATTTCGCCTTAAACCATATTTGATATTTTCCCCTACGTACTTTGGATAATGTCTGGCATGTTTGTACATTTTTATCATTAATTTACACTCTAACAGGAATAATTTAAATTAATATTATTTGAATATATTTATTACGTTTCCAAAAATTATAAAAGAAATTAAGTTATCAAATTTAATTTCCCTATATTTGTACGTTTATAATAAAGGTTAAAAGTTCAGTTGCTAGAAATATTATTGCCAATGATGGTGAGTAATAGTCCACATAAAAAATTGTAGGGAAGAGATAAGCTAATAGAATACTTATTAGGGGTAAGATTCGTCCAATTACAGAAACTTAATTCAACTTAAATCACATATGATGCTTTTCAGTCATAGTTATATTCTGACATATTTCTTTCTAATGAAGTGTATATTTTTGTACTATTTTTTATTTTTCCTTATCAATCTCGTAGAACCAAAGTGTTGTTTTATGGGCTTGAAATCCTTTTGAGAGCCACTCACCAAACGAAGCATAAAATAACACGCAATCATCCAAGAATGATGTAAAGTATTTGAAAACAGTAACTTTTGACTCCTGATTACAGTTTTGCTATTCTTTTGGCCAAAAGAAGATACATTAATATAAATGGCTGAATAATTAGGTAAACGAAGGAATTTGGAGAGAATAATAAAAAAGGGAAAACGACATCATTAGTCTTATTGGGCATTTTGCATAGGCATCATAAGATTGCATTTGTTCCTCAAATTTGAGAAATCAGAGAAACTGGTTCAAATATTCATCTACGGTGGTGTACTTGACATGAGGATAGGCCTCAGAAGCCTCGACGTCTCTGGTGGGATCAATCTCATACACTGCATCTCCCCTTATCTGCTGTGAGTGATATAATGCTAACAGGTAATTATTTGGGAAAGACAACTCTGCACTCAACCAAAAGAAAAATAAAACAATTACATGCTTTATCTCACAAACCAGCATATCAAAGGATATACTCATATCCTACCCTACAGAAAATGAATTTGTTAAATTACTTACCTTGAATATCCTTCAGAACCTTTTCCTCTGGAACATAGATTTTCTCAAGACTCTTTCCAATCTTTTTCTCCCACAAAGACACAATCTCATTTAAGGTCAAATAATTTGCAGGAAGTCTTATATGCACGGCTTTGTTCAATGTGTTAGGGTCATTCACTGCTTCCACTGTGTAAGTTCCCACATCAGCCTCGGTCACATATGCACCTGAAACCATTAACAATATTATGTATATATGTACTCCTTCAACCAATTCACTCTGTCTACGTTGTTATATAACTGTTTTGTTTATAACTAAAATTGAAGTTTACACTATGACTACCTTTAACGTTTCCATCTCCTTGAATGAATATCTTGTCCCGAGGAGGAACAGTGATATCAATCTGTGCCAGGTTACGTAAGAAGTAACCGGTAAAAGCATGACAGCATAGGTAGGTGTAAGGGACTCCCTCGGCTTCGATTACTCTCCGGATTTTTGCTTTTTCCTCAAAAACTTCTCTCACTGGTTCAACTGCATCGTGACGATCCACATCCAGTCCAAATTCAGATGGGAAGAATCTCTGTAGAAGAATGAAATTAGTATGGAAAATGTGGTTATTTAGAAAAGATTTATTTTGATGAGCAAGAGAGGCATACCTTGACGTTTCCAGCTTCTTTGATTGCTGCAATGATCTTGACCTGATCTTCTATGAGTAGTCTCCCGAAAGAGCAGATGACGACGTCAACCTGTTTGATGGCGTTGACGAGACTCTGATGATCGTTCATGTCTCCCTGGAGAGAGAAAGGAGTGGTATGATTAATGGTGTGAAAAGAGAAAAATGGTAAGAAAGAAATGAAGAGAGGAAGGGAAGGTACTTGGATTAGAAAAACTCCAGAATTTTGGAAGTTCTGAAGGAGTTCATCCCTGGTTTCAGGATTTGCAGCTGTAACGAGCCTTGGTTTGTTAACATTGGCTGGAGTGTCCCTAACCAACACATACGTTGGATTCCCAGCCTTCACACTTGCCCACACTATGTGTCTTCCAATGGCCCCTGTCGGTCCCAATACGAGGATTCTGTCTTTTCCGGCCATGAGAAGAGATGACACTGAAAACAAACACTTAGTAGTGTGAGGTTTTCTTGTTTCGGTAGGTAACTGATTGAAGCAGGAATGACTTTGTGGTGCATAGACAGGAACACTTGGGATGGTATTTATAGGGCAACCCAGTTGGCTTAATATCTCTGAAAGATTGACTCTCTTAATAAAGAAATATGTATTTTCTCACAGAAGGGGAGGCTGCGCCATGAATTCAGACGTTGAAAACCAACGAATATTTTAGTTTGGTATTTCATGTTCGTAAAATGTCTTGTAAACATATATCTATAATGTTGATCTCCATGTTTGACGCCCAAAAAGAAAGAAATTTGTATTTCCTCACCAGCGGCCGTCGGCATCACATGACTCCATCAATTCTCAAGTCCATAAACAACCAGTAATTTGACTTTCGTTTGGTTATTTTTATCGAGCACAGAAACATGATTGCTAACAAACAAGAGAGAAACTATCCACCGTAAAAACCTCTCCCAACGTACCAAACAAACAATGTTTAAAACTCATTAGAGCATATTTTCACTTAATAGTCTGGAAGAACATTATGCAAGCGAAAAAATAAAACAAATTTAAAATAGTTATATTTTTGATAAGTACGAAAATTACGTATTGAAAAGTTATAACTAAAAGTAGGAAAGTGTGTATAAATTGTACAAGAATTTATACATCAAAGTAGAGTGCTATCATATGTTTTTGGATAAGTCAGCATTAAATTGCTCAGCTAAATAACTCGTTGAGCAAATATAGGACAATTAAAGATAGGCTGCAGTTGAATATTTGCTTAGCACATAAAGAGTTGTGCGCTTAGCGAAATAGTTATTTTTTTCAATTGACTTTTAAACTGGGGAATAGACAGAAAGAACTCCAGATAGAATTTTCGACAAAAAAAAGAAACGAAAATATCTCAGCAACTTCTAGAGACTACTTCAAGCATCAAGACACCATTGTTGTTGCAAGGATTGCTTCAAATGTGTACGTTATAGATGTCTAGGAGTAGTTAAATTTTTCTTTCGTTGAAATTGGATATAATGAACTCATTTTGACGTAATTTTCCTGTTATATCGTTGTTTATTCATATGCTCTTTCTTTAATTTACTATCATTGTATGAAAATATAATGTTATTTGAATGTTTCTGATTACCAGAAAGTAACTTTGAACATGAACATAGAAAGAACATCTAAGTGATTTGGGATCTAGGGATAAACTCAATAACTTGGTCATTCTTAGCATTAGACTTAATGCAAATTGTAGGTTAAATTGACTAAAGGATTAACAGTTTGATATATTAATTTAGAACTAGTTGCTAAGGGATTAAGACTAGTATGCGTTGATGTGAATGTTTGAATGACATAATGATATATTGTACAAAGTTTTATCTTCATATGAACCCAATTTCAACCAAGTTTCTTTTAAATATAATTCCTTGCACACCAACTGTTTAATAAAATACCAAAAAAAATTGTTTTGTGCATTTTGATGTCTAATTGAGTTATAAAAAAAAGAATTCTCATGTGTTGTATGAGTATTACTTGGAACGATGTGGTATATTTGGCAAAAATTATCAATTTTAACTACAAAAAAATTCCCTAATATTCAATTAAAGAAGTCGGTCAATGGAAATATTAATTTTGATTGTCTATGTAGATCAAAGAAGAAAAACGGTCAATTTTGTCCAAAATACTACTATATAGACAAAGTCAGCCAATGAAAATAGGAGCGACCAAATATTTATGTCTAACAATAGGGTTCATTAATAAACTCTGGCTTGTGTCACAAAGTATTTGAACTTTAATTATATTATTATTGGCTCAATTTTTTTTTATGCAACCGCCTTACATAATTTAAACAAATGAGTCTTGACTGCAGGAATTTATTAAAATGATAAAAACAATTTAACGTTATATATTTTAGTTTTTAATTAATATCTGGTTTTTAAATACTTTTCACCTGAAATAATACATTTACTCAATGAAGAATTAGTACAAAATCAACTTTGAATGATACGATAAATTTATGAAACAAAAGCTTTATAATCACATACACAAGAGACATGTCAAAAAAGTTATATCCTAGAAATATGGCTGAAAAGGTTCAGCCGAAATAATCCAAGCTACATGTCACTATACTAAACCCGGCGGCAATCGGAAAATATTATTATAATCTAAAGTTCTAAAATGGCGATCAAACATATTTCATCGTTGAATTTCTTTACTTGACTTTTTTATTTTTTTAATAAATTGGTTGAAAGGTGGCAATATATTTTTTAATATTTTTATCACATGAAAAAGAGGAATTAATATTTTTTAAGTTCATGTGGGCAATTGTGTAAACTTTCATTTAAATATAAAAACTTATATCTTCTTTATTCTTTTTAATTTTTAATCTTTTTTATTTGAATAAATTTTGTTTTGTTACAACAATTTTTATTATCTCTCAACGATTTTATTAGTTTGATATTTGGAAAATTTTCTTCGATCTCTAAGTTACACTTCCCATTTTATTAATATTATCTTTATTTATACATTTGTTTTCTTCTTTGATAATTTTACATGTTTTTAATATGTTTATTTGTTTTGTTGTTTATTGCCATTATATATTTTTTTGATGAACTTTTATATAATTATTTTTATTTTTTAACTTATTTTTTAAGTAATTTTATCATTGCAAATGTATAAGGATGTTTTATTTATTATAATATAATAATTCAACAACCATTAACATGAATCATATGTCATTATTAAATATAAATTGAAGTTTAAAAGAGGAATGATCTATAGTTTAATCTTATTTTTCTTAATAATTTGATTCAAAAGGTGTATTATAAATAAGATTACAACGAGTCAGGTTGAATAGAGTGAGTGTTTATCTATTACTCAACCTGTAACAAAAAATTTCATTTGTTATTAGTTTAAAAAATACCCATGGATATTTTAAAATCCGTGAATACTCGTAAATATTTTAAAAATATATTCTATAAATTTTTAAAATAAAATTACAAAAGAAAATATAAAATATAATATAAATTAAATTTTAATTTTAATTAAACTTAACCTAATAAAATATAAATTGATTTTAATTTAAATTTAACTTAATAAAATATAAATTAAATTTTAATTTTAATTTTTTCGAGTAATATATACCTGCGAATATGGATAGTATGATATCTGTTATTCACTACCTACGGATAATAAATATATATAGGTAAGTATTTTTGTCATCCCAAATTATAATTTTTATTAATATCTAAAGAATCATTAAAATTTGGATAAAGGAATTAAAAAACACATTTAAAATATTTTTAAACTTAAATATATTTATTTATTTTAATAATTTAAAAAATATTTTTTAATTTTATTAACTTTATTTCATTAATGTTTATAAAATTAATAAATATTTTGGTTGTCATGAATTTTTTGATGTGGAATTATGTAATATTTTATATAATTTTTTTTCATGAACGAAATACAATCACACCATAATCAAGCCATCCGGACAGTCCTGAAGAGCAGGACACAACTAAATAGTTATCGAACGTGGCATAATTAGCAAACGAAACCGGACTGGCAGGAGCAGAAGGTCCATTATAAGGAAAAAGGTAGGATTTTTCTACAATGGTTAAGGTAAACAATATTTAGAGGTATTGGGCTGAGATTGGGTCGTGATTAAGGTTTCACTAATCTCAAACTAACGTTGAAAAATATAAATATAGGTCAAAGGTAAGAGGTAAGTGATCGCATTTACTGTGTATTTAATACTTATATTGAACCTCGTATGAACAGTTCACTGACTTAAACATCGTATAACCTTTGGCAGGTACATATCCGGATGGAGGAGTGAAGACAGGAACAAGAAGAACGGTTACCATATGACATTCCAAGAGAAATGGTGTAGGTAGTAACTCGACATCATAACCAAAACAGTTATGTTATTTTATATGGTTTATTGGTGTATATCATAATGTTTGTTTTTCTTGGATTGCCTGAGAAGTGATATCAAAATCAATGTTCACCCCTATGATAGTTGATTTAGACAAATATGTTTAATTGGATGATGAATCTTTTCACATACTTATATGAACACATTTAATGAGAGGTGTTTTATGTTTAAGAATAAGTTATAAAGTCATACATGTAAAAATAAATAAGTTTTCAGTAATATTTCGTGAGT